TTGGTACTACGTATTAATAAAGTTGGTACTATTCTCTTATTAAAGTGGTACGATTCGAAAATAAACTGGTACTAATTTTCTGGACTTGAATAAAGATAAGGGTATTGTGGGAATACTAAGAGGGTTATTATTTTATTGCAAGTGGGAGGGAGTAAAGTGGAAGAAAATTAGGGGAAGGGACTGAACTGGAAGTTGAAAAGGGGTCTAGGTACTTTTATAGAATTTGCCCTTCTTATAATCCGAAAACATTATTATTTTATTTTGCAAAACGAAACGCAACTTCCATGTGAATTTGTCAAAAGCGACTGTCATGTCGGAACATTTAAAAAATGTTTATATTTAATATAGCCAGATCTAGCGGGCCTCCTCTCTTGTTTGGCCGTCCCCAACACACTCTATTCAGGCCATGGTTGGGTTGGGGGGTTGGGGTTGGAGGTTCTCTACCTCGCCCGCGCCGTCCCATTTCCGGCCATGGCAGGGCTAATGTTGGCTCATCGGCGTTGCTATTCGGGTCAATTTCCCTTCTCGCTTTGAAAACCGTTGGAGCCTAGATCTGGATTTACGGGTGTAGCCATGTACTATAGTATCTTTTGTTTCTTATGTATAGGAGATTAACTTTATTATAGTATCTGGATTTACGAGAGTCATTGGATGGTTTTCTTATGACTCAAGCATCACTGAATATAATAACACATGTCCAAAGTGTATTTATTGTAGACACATGTCAATACACTATTCGTGAATAAATGTGAATATCTCCCTAAATCGTGTCATTCGATAATTCCATAGCAAAATTATTCATTATGAATCCAATAGTTGATTTCATAGCAAAACTCTGCTTATACTATCAACTATCAAGTGTTCATCATTATTTTTATTTTGTTTTTTAAGTATAAAAATTTCTAATAAAAGTAGGTAATTAGAAAAAAGAGTACCTGACCTAATGATTAGACCGGCCTAATACAAAACCAACCGATTTGCAAAATACCAAGACACTAACATGGTCTAATTCGAACTCATATTCAACAGTCGACTACCGATTCGAATTGAACATTACGATGTTCAACTCACTTCTACAAGAAGCAATCCCACATACAACCAAGCAATGACAAAAAATCTGACGCTGAGGTATTGTTTGGTTGAGAGAAAATGGAGGCGAGGAGAGGACCAAAAAACAAAAGAAGAAAAAAAAAACGTATAATCACGGAGAGATCAAAAGCAATGAATAAGCCAACAACGGCACCGAAATTAGAATTTACACACAATCACACTGTTAATCTCTGATCGGAAAGAGCAAAGAATCCATTAATGTTCCAAAATAATGAAAATCCAAGTCAAGTTCAATTTATTTAAAACAGGAAAATAAACAAAGATATGGCCGAGGCGATTATCTTCATCATCAATCCACTCGTCTTTGAAACCGAAAGTCGCCTTCAAAAACAAGCATCCAGCAGGCAACAGCAGCACAGGGCAGCCAAACTGCACAAACAAGTTAAACAAAAATCATTCACTTTTTTATTTTTTTTTAAATAAAAATATTTGCAAAAAGTCCAGTTTCGAGGCTATTATTGGTAAAATTACAACTCAAGTAAACTAAACGTCCCACCCACTCACGGCTCACCGCGCACGTTAACATCCGTGCGCTGGGAAACCGCGTTTTAGACTCGCCGACTCGCCACCAAACTCACCGAACTAATCACAAACACGATAGATCTTCCAGATCTCGAGAACTCAACCAAAAAACTCACACATGCACATAAACAAGCGAATCGGACCTTTAATAGAATTGAAAAAAAAAAAAAAAAATCAAAGATCGGGCGGAAATTCTCTTACCATCCCTCCATGAACCCGGAACTACCGCTCGATTGCTGTTGCGGCGGAGGCTGGCCGTACTGCGGGGCGTATTGCGGTGGATATCCTCCCTGAGGATACCCTTGCGGCGGATATCCCTGCGGCGGGTAACCGGCCGGAGGATACGCGTCCTTCGGGCCTTCCGGCGGGTAACCTGAGCATCACGATCCGAAAGCAAAACCGATTAGATCAAAACTCAACCTGAATTTCGTAAAATAAAAAACAAAATTAAAAAATATATATCACATCGGATGAAGATGAACTTGCCTTGAGTAGGCGGCACACCAACAGGGGGCTGACCCTGATTGTAGTAACTCATGATTTATCTAAATTTTATCTTTCTTCTCTTCCTTTAGATTCGTGAAAAGGATGAGAAAAAATATAGTCAAACGGATTCCTGTGAACGAAGAGATCGAGAGGATGTATTTGTTTCAGTAGAGAGAGATAAAATAAAATCAGAAAAAAGTTATGAGCGGTTGGGGAGGGAGGTTTTGTTATAAAGGGTGAGGGAGAATTAGAAAGGTAAAATTCATTATAAAAAAAAAATACGTATTGGATTACTTTTATAATCCTAGTAGGTGGGAGCATACGTGTGGAAAGCGCGTCTAGGAAACTTCCTTACTGGGTGATGAATTTTAAAGATTTTTACATGTTTGTTTATAAAAAAATACAAAAAATTTCCTAACACTTTTTTTTTTTGGTACAGGGACATTCCGATTTTCGGATCCACAGAGAAACCGACTAATTCAGAATCGAGCCGGGTAGGACCACAAGGGCGGCAAAGCTCTCCCTCAAACACTTTAACTCCGCAAATAATTAGGTGGCCTGACACACCTAGCAAGGTGTGCCAAGGCACACGGTAGTAGCACTGCTTTAACTTAGTCACTTTTTTTTCTTGATTAAATTTTAACTCAACACCACTATCATCAATAAAATTAAATAATATCAATTAATCATTCATACACACTACATCAACTTTAATTCACTATTCATCTACTCACATAATTTTAACTAACCATCACATCTTCTCTCTCCTACTTTTACATCAATTTAATTTCAATTATTTTATCTTAAATATTATTTTAATAAATTCACTAACAACTAACCATACCACCTTTTCAAATTTAACCAAACCAAACAAAAAAATCCAAACAAACTCAAAAAATTTCATAAACAAACATAAGACTTCAAAAATCTTTTTCTATTTAATTTAATTCCTTTAAAACTGTCAAAAGTTTTGAAGATTTTTTAAAATTTTAAAAATCTTGGTGTTATATAGATTTGAGCTAATCATTTGATACTAGTGTTCGTGGATTTGCACAGATATAAATAAAGTATTATATATTATTGAAAAAAATCATGTATTAAAATTATAAGTTAGATAATGATATTAAATTTAAACATAAAAGTTTTATAAGTTATATCTATGAATATAATTAAAAATTGAAGTTAAAAAAAATGGTATTATGTTTAAAAATTTGATCATTTGCTAAAATAAATAGTAAGTAACTATTTGATCGCATATGAATCATATATAGATTGCATAAAATGTAATAAATTATGTAATATTTGTAATTTTGAGAGATCGTGACCAATCAATTTGTTGAAAGTTATTAAATTTATTATAATAATTGCATATGCGATTTTAAAGAATTTTACTATGACAAATTAACTTATTTAAAAAACTATCGCTCAATCAAATTAAAAATATAATATTGATTTTAGAATAAATTAACTTGAATAAAAAGTTTTACAATTAAATATTTTATGTTTATGTAACTTTCATATATCATTATTGTAAACTATAGTTAATAATATTAATAAATATTATATGATAAAATAAACAAATATAATTTTTACTCAATTAATATAAAATGTAACGGTTTTTCTCTAAATTAAGAAAATCTGTTTTGGAGAGTTAGGTGCCATGTAGGTATAATTTAGACATTTTATTTAATGATAGCAATTATATATATATATGGATATATTATATATTTTAAAAGTCTTACATAATATTTTATTCAGAGGGTGTATTCGTTCGGATTTTCGAACAACATTTTGAGACTTTTTAAGATTTGAGTCTTTTTAAGATTTTCAGATTATGAATAAATTCTATGAAATCTTCAGTGGTTAATTCAATTGGGATGATTTTTTAAGACTTTAGAAATCTTGATATATTCAATTTAGATTTGTTAAGACTTTTAAAAGAAATAATAATTTCAACAATACCCTAATCCCTAAATCTCAGCAGCGCTCTTCCTCAATCTCGACCGATTGGCCTTCTCCGGTGAAGGTGGGTCTCTGGCCAGGGTCGTCGTTCACTGCTCACCTCCCTCGGAAGACGTGCACCTCCGATGTTGCTGTGGGTGGGCTCCGATTGGAGGTAGGTTTCGAGTTTTTTGGCGGAGTTCCAGTCGATGGCCGCCTCCTTCCAGGCCGGTGCTTGTCTGGCGACGGGAGTTTTCTCCTCAATCGCCAGTGAAGCCTCGATTTGCGAAGGTAAAGCCGTTCGTCTGCACTTTGTTAGAGTTTCTTGGTCCCGGCCTCTTTGGAGGGGCTCCGCCTCTCTCGGGTGGTGGGGCTTGGCCTCGGTATTGGACCCCTTGTGGCGGTTTTGGGTGGTTTGCGAGTCCTTGGAAGGGCGAGACTCCGGCGGCTGCTGCTTTTGCCGTGGTGGTCGAGGTAAAGGGTCAGACCCACCTCCATCTTCCCCTGGTCGGCTAGTGGTGTTAGGCGGCGGGGGACCCTGAGCTCGGCTAGTGGTGTTAGACGGGTTCGGGTGGTTCGGATTGGGGGCTGGTTGTTTCTCTTTCAGTCGTCGATGGGTCGATTCGGGATTGGTCCGGGCTTGGTCTCGACTACTTGTATAGGCGTTCAAGCAGTTTTGCTAGTGGATTCTCTAGCTTGGATTCTTTTTTGTCGATCGTTTACTGCTGGTTTGGGCCTGCTTATTCGCTGGAGAAGGGCTTGTAGTTTATTTTAGTTTGTTTGTGTTCTGTTTATTGTGTTTTCGTTATTTATTCGTGTCGGGTTGCGAGTGTATTGTTTTTTTGGTTTGGGTCGTTGACCCCTGTGAGCCTGAGTGTCATTTTGTACGCCCGAGTGTCACCTTATTACCCTTCTGGGGTCCGACACTCAAGTATTACTCTGTTGGGGTCCGACACTCGGGTAGTTGTTTTTGTTGTTTTAGTTTGTTTTAGTTGTTAGTGTTGTTGGTTTGTTTAGTTGTGAGTATTTTATTCTAGCGTTGCTAGCGGGATTCTAGGCGATCTTCTGACCTGTCCTCCCACTTTATTCTCCCGTTGGGAGCTTTGTATCTTTATTCGCACTTTGTGCGCTTGTGATTTATAATAGTTCATCTATCGTTTCGGCGAAAAAAAAAGACTTTTAAAAGTCTTGATGTATCCAATTGAGATTTTAAAAAGTATTACAAAATCCTGAGGGGTATATTCAACTAGGATTTCTAATGATTTTTTACGACTTTAGAATTTTTGGTCTATTCAATTTAGATTTGTTAAGACTTTTTTAGACTCTTAAAATCCACAGGTTATTCTATTGGGATTTTAAAAAATCTTACAAAATCTATAGGTGTTTAATTTATTTGACACTAGGATTTGTTAATACTTTTTAAGATTTGATGGGATTTCTAAACAAAAAAACTTTATATGAATTCCCACTCCAGACATAAAATATCGTAGAATTTTTCCAAAATCTGAAAATCTTTAAGCATGTGATTGTATATATATTCTACAGTAAATATCTCAATCAAAACTCAAATTTAACTTAACTCCACTATCTCCAATATTATCAATGTAATTAAATAATATCAACAAATCATTATTACACATCACATCAATTTTAATTCACTATTCATCCACTCACATAATTTTAACTAACGATCACTTCCAATCATTCTCTCCTACTTTTACATCAAATCAACTTTAATTATTTTAATTTAAATATTATTTTAATATATCCATTAACAACTAATCATACTACTTTTTTTCAAACTTAACTATAGTTAAAAAAAAAAACTTGTTTTTTACTAGTTGAATTCATATCCAATCACCCCTTAAAAGTCTCAAATCTTAAGACGCTTTAAAGTGTCACTTAAAATCCCAATTAAATACACCCCATTTGAGAATAAAATTCTTAAGACGTTTTGAGATTTGGTGAGATTTCTAAATGAAAAACCTTATACTAAATCTCACTTTAAATCGCACCTCCAGACTTAAGGTTTCATAGAATTCCTCCAAAATCTAACAATTTTAAAAAATCACAAATCTTAAAAAGTCTCAAAATATCACTTGAAATCCTAATTGGATATACACCCCTTAATGTGAAGGTGGATTTGGATTTCGTATAAGTTTTTTTTTTTCTTTTGAAATCCCAGTAAATCTTAAAATGTCATAACAAATCATAGTCCCAAATAAATTAAATTTCTAAGGATTTTGTAAGACTCTATAAAATCTCAACTGAATACCCCAAGATCTTTAAAAGTATTAAAAAGTCATCTCAACTGAATACCCCAAGATCTTTAAAAGTATTAAAAAGTCTAAATTAAATACACCAGATTTCCAAAGTCTTAAAAAGTCTTTAGAAAATCCTAAATGAATACACCACTTAACTTATTTGAGATTAAGATTTGTTAAAAAATTTTAAGATTTGTTGGATAAAAAAAAAAAAACAAAAAAAAAAAACTTACTCCAAATCCCACTTCCACATATCACATTTCATCAAATTCCTATTAAATATAAAAATCATAAAAAGTCTCAAATCCAAAAAATTCTCAAAATGTAAATCAAAATCCCAAACGAATACGCCTCTATGATTTTGCGCATTTTCTCTTGCGCTTTAAAAAATGCGTGAAAAAAACGCTTAGTTATAATTGAATCTTTTACGAGATTAGGGGAACTAGTGAAACTAGTACATTACTCGTGTATTATACAGGTGCTTGTTTACAATTTTACATTTAAATTAAAAATAATAAAAAATTATTTTAATTATCAAATATTTTTTTTGAAAAACTATATTATTTATATTTAAAATGGAACTCATCACTTATACGACCAATCACCTTATATTATAAAAAAAGGTATCATATAAATACCTTGTAATGAAATTAATTTAAATAAATTTATTATTTCCAACATTTTTATAGCTAATTTGTTTTAAACTAAAAATATAACTATAATTAATTATTTCTTTTGTATGTACAATATAGATGTCATATCGAAGCTCATCAAAGATATGATCATTTGATATATTATATACAACAAAACTAATAATAATTAAAAAAATTATTAAATTGTAAATATA